TTCTGAGAACATATTACACACGTCGCTCGTCAATAATTGACAGTTTGGTTCAGATGGAAAGTGCTGGAAATGTTAAAATGGCAGTTGTAAAAATGAACAGGGAGTTGGGATTGTGGGAAAGATGTTTTGTGTGGAGGCGAGTCACTACAGTGGGTGTCTGGCATGTATCACAATCCGTGGCAGACGTAAAATGGGTTTATCCATTGTATACATTATTACAGAAGGAATGCATTGAACACTCAAACCTTAGAAAACATCAAGAAAAAAAGCATTCTGTTACATTTGTAATGACAGGGTAAGGGTCAAGGGTGGTGTCAGTCGGGAAGCTCCGAGAACCATCCCGAGTGGTCTAGCAGGTTCTAGAAAGGGGGCGTGACCAGAGGTGGAGCTTGGCCACGCCGAGCGAGATATAAGGAGCACCGAACCCTTGTTTCGGGGCTGTTAGCGTGGGGGCTGGGTCCTGAGTGCATCGCTGCTCGCCGTCATCTTTCTCTTCAACCACGTGGCTGTTCGTCTGTGTCTTCGACCGCCATGCTCGTCAACCAGACAGCATAACGCCGCAGGACGGAGAAGGGCCGCATGTTAGAGCAGCCTGGGTGTAGCTGCGTTACTAGGTGTATCGCCTTGTGTGCTCTTAATAAACAAGAAGCCTTCTACTAAGACGTGTGTCGGGGGTCGCTCACTACACATCTATGGTTGAAATCAGTTTGCCCTGTCTCCTGATGTCCAACCCTAAAAGCACTGACGACGCAGGTGCCATCTACCAAAGGATATCATTAATCCGATTAATGGAGAACCATCGGGCATCTGAAATATTGTTCACAGACTCATTAGCAGGTCTCATTACCTACTATATTTTTTGACAGCTTTCAGCATTTTCTCAAGGACAGTGCCTTTGCAAAATAATGTTAGATGATACTGTATATATTAAATACGGTATTTCGTTTAAAAGGCTAAAGCGACATGAAAACTCTTGTACATTTAAACATCCGTGGGGGTTTTTAGGACCGTTTTACAAAAGCCTTGCTCTGGAGCCATTTGTACAATATAGGCGAAAACCAGAGTTCACCACAATAGCCACACACGTGGGGCCAAGGGCACGTGGCTCTTCACGACACATCACAGACATTGCCCGGTGTCTTGTGAGCGTCACAACTCCATCCCCATGTTATGAGAGGGCGTTGGCCTTGCAATTCAGTGTCAAGGGCGAGTGTTGGGCTGACAATTCAATGTTAGGGGCGAGTGTTGGGCATGCGTGCCACTGCAGGCGGGGGTGGCGGAGTGAGTTTTAATAGTGTACACACAGGCATTAGTATAGTAAAAACGACTTGGCATATTTTTAGTACAATAACAAAGGCGGAAATCATGCAGAAATTCGTGAAACAAAAAGGAATTTTGGCTATAATTTCGGACCCTAGAACGCAACCATGTTTCCCAAAAGGTGTCGTAATTCTCCAGAAAAACTCTTAGGTTTTTGTTAAAAAAAAACTTTCATAATCGTTCAGCCTCAATACATTTGGCTCTCCAACACACCTGTGTGCTGTACTCGTTACGAATTGGCATGTGCTGTTTACGTGACAACCCTTACTAGTTGGCTGTGTCGGGTGGTGGCGGGTTTTAACGACACATTCATATATTTACGCGATCTAACCCAAAAAACCTCTATTATGGATATTGGTCGCGAAAGCCTACGTGTTAAACTATAAGTTCGAGTGTTATAGATGGTTTCCAGTGTAATTATATTTGAAATAATGCATTTCACCCCAGTTGAATTGCTGTTCACCTTGCCGATTGTTTTTAATCTTCTGGCTAACTCTTATACATATGTATCTTGCGCCCATAGTAGTAGTTTATTTTGAATTACCCTGTGAGCCAAGAAGCTCTTACATCGGGTTTCATTAACAAAAACATCAACAAACCACCATTTGCTCAGGTTTAGATGTCAACATAGCGCAATTCAAATGTTAATTACGTTGCGATTCATATGTAAATCGAGTAATACTGCATGTGTTTATTTACTGAGAACTGATAAGGAAAGGTAGACTGATATGGGAATGTAGACTGATATGGAAAAGGTCACATGTTGTGCTTCAGTCAGTAAATATGGCCCTGTTATTGGGGGGGGGGGGGAGGTGAGGATACGTAATGTCCTTATATTTAGCACAATGCTCCATTATTTGCTGCTGGATGAAACGATAATACAACAGCCACCACATTTATTAGTAACGGTTTTCATTTGCAATGGACTAATTTAAAATAAGACTGAGCAGAAAAGACCTCATAATGAGAGGCCATAGCGTGGCTTGGGTTGGGTATGAGCTGTATGTCTCTGTGTCCCTCTGTGTATATATTTCTATTTTTTTGTTCGTCATTTTTCTTTACAGCTTTACATTTTCTTCCTAAGTTTTTTTTAAATTCACTCTTGAATTATCTTACCTATCGTACAATAAAGAAGTGTGTTGCTCCCCGAGCTGGAGGAACCTGGAACAAAATAAATCACGTTCATATACTCACCAGTGAGACAAGGTGCCCTGAAAAAAGTTGAAAAAAATGTGTAAGGGGCGATCCCCACCTCCGAACAAGGAGCAGGCTGGGCATTCGGCCGAGCATCCCAGGAATCGTCAAACGTGCCGTGGCGAGGCCTGTTCGCCGCATGGCCGGCCTGCCGTTTGTCTTGGACACCCAGCCTCGGAGACGTCTTCCTTTCGGGGTTCATCTCAACGGCCAGGAGCCGCTCCCTCTGGGCTGCTCTACTCGACGCTGCGCCGCTTGGCGCGGTCTTCATGGAGACCGATTGGGTAGCACACTCGTGGGGACTGCTCCCACGAGAGATGGAGGAGCAGTCCCTAAGAAGTCGATGTACTCGCCTAGTAAGAGACGCTAAATGTTATTGTAGTGACATAGAATGGGTCACTACGGCACGTAGGGCAGGTGAAGAGTGCCACTGGAGCGCGTAGCACCAGTTGCTGGCAGTGAAGGGGCATTTGAGGATACAGCAGCCGGTCTGCCAGTAGGGCAAGTGATAGGCCGGGGTAACGGATGTAGGGTAAAGGTGACAAAGGGGACACGTAGGGCAGAGCCCAGAGCCTTCTGGTAGATTCCAGAATGGGGCATGGCCGAGGGCGGAGCCAGGCCACGCTGGAGAGGATAAAAGGGAGGCCCTGACACAGGATCGGGGCTGCTGAGGTTTGGGAATGGAGCCGTCATCTACGAAGTCTTCGCCTTCCTCATCGGTGTTGGGTCAGGCAGTGTGCCGGCTGTTCTGACCCGTCTATAGTTATCCGCTGTACTGTGGAAAGTATAGAATAAACGTGTATGCCTCCTACGACTAGTGTCTCTAAAGTAACCCAATACATTTTCATTAAAGCTATTCTAAATTTACAGAGCCTTTGACTCTGTACAAGTGGAGAGATGAGGTGGGTCAGTTGGCAATACTATATTATAATATTAATTGTTGCTCATCTATGGCCGGTGAAGATTTAGAATAAGCAAATCAGCTATGATGGCATTAAATGTCGGGATTTTGACAGAAACTTTAAGACCTCTGATTTGTGCACCTTGGTTGAAAATTTGGTCTTTTGGAGGTGGCCGTGTGACTCAAGGGGTCAGAGCGCCACTCTGCCAGGACTCTGAGGCCATTTTGAGAACTTTCCAGTGGTAAAAAACATTGGCGAAATGCTTAAATTCCACCAGAAGGCTATCACGTTGTAGATGTTCGTGGTTCGAGCCCGCGGCCGTCCTGGTTAACGTTGTTGGCGTGTTTAGCCACAATAGTGTGTGCTGCCATCGTCACAGTGGGCGTTTTGGCCGATGGACAAAAAACATTTATACAATCGTACAGGGAGACAGAAAATAGTTCCAGTTAAAAAGGAGTTTCAAATATAGAGCATGCTGCAAACGGTTTTAATGGCAAAGGAAAGTCATACAGTTGTTTTAAATTTACATCTCCCTGCAACCATTTCATCTTTTTCAATTTCAGCTGAAATATTTTAATAGGTATTGAACCATGTAACGTCACAAATATGAGCATGTTTATATAACAAAGTTGTGAGCATCAGCTACTCTATCCACATCAACCAATCTGATTGTATGGCATAGAGATGGTCAGCATTTGATCTCTGAAGTCACCATGCTGTCAATGTGCATCATTAACTGTTATTCAATGATGCCTTCAGTATTTCTCCCACTCCATCCCTAGATCACAATGCAAGGCTCCACTTTGACTCGTGCATAACAATTTGCATTTGTATGGAAAATATTTCCATGAGTGGATATATGTATCATATTTTGGCACAAACGATAGTTTGGAAAATGTAACCATTTTACCATTTTCCATTCACACTTTTTGCTTCTGAATTAATTAACAGCATTGTTTGTGTAACTTAATGTAGTTTTATTCTATGACATTTGGTTAAATACCTACTTTTAACACGCATATAAATCGCTAACTCGTGCAATATCAATCATGTAGCGTTTTGCTTTTATTACTCAATGCTACAAATGTGTATACACATCTAAATTATACGTGTTTAAAAGTGCCACGTAGACTTATATGGAATCTCGTGTATAATATACTCGTTTAAACCAATCATAATGTCACGGTGGCAGAAACAAAAAAAACTAATATTTTATTTGAGTTGGTGGTCACAAGGCTAATAACATTGTACATGCAATGTGGTGGTCACATGAGACGTACACAAGTCATGAAGTGACTTGCACCTTCCTGCTGTTTGCAAGCACCACAGATTTGCGTGTTGTTTGACATAGTTTAACATTAAATGCCCATTCTGACAGCTGACAACAAGGGGCAGGCTACAAACCTCAGCACCATGGAATGTGGAATACTGTACATCTTATCCAAAATATAATATTTTTTTAAAGATCGAAACAGGAGGATTCATCCACAACTCTGGCTGTCACCTGATGAGGCTGGTTGTAATTACCTGGCGAAACGTCGTACTCGAATTGTACATTTTGTGGGTTTACTCTCCAACACACCCGGTGACCTGGACCAGTAATTAATTGGCATGTTTTGTTTACGTGACAAACCGTACTACCACCTATGTTAGGTGGTGGGGGGTTTACCAACATTTAAATTTACGTGACCTAAACCACAAAAAAGGCTATGATGGATAATATTGGGCGAGAAAGCCTACGTGTTAAACTGACTGTACATTGTCTGCTTGTTGCCGTATATGTATCACATCGCTCTGTCTAAAGATCAGTCACACAATGAGCCTGATACTTATGAAGATAAGCATAGATCTAAACTGTTATTGGCATCAGTTGGAAGGATGATAATTCCAAAGTTCAATCACTGCTTGCTCGTAAAGTCCCCAGGTGCCCTCCTGATAGAAAAAAAAATGATGGGCTGGTACTCTTGCAGATTATGCAATGGAACCCTTTTGTAGGATTAATGTAGGTCCGGAAAGAGGTGATTCTCAACCTGTGAAGACACAAATAAAACCGCTCATAGCTTTTTTTTTCGATTTAAAGCGTTCGTGACTGCAGGGATTCATCTTCTTGGTTCTTTCGGAAAAGGCACGTAGAAGGGAATTAATAAAATAATAAAAATTAAATATAATAAAATAAAATTCTCACGACGTTCCGGCCACAATACAAGTAGCCTTCCTCAGGTGAAGAAACAGAACTGTCGGAAAGACAGCGCTCCAATGAACACTGCTAAGCTTGGCAGCGTATTTTAAGCTGGGTGGGAGGAGCAGAGCGCCTTGACAAAGGAGTTTACATATCAACAGAAGAATTTAGCATTGAAGTAGCTGTGTTAATGTTGGATTAGCAGGATGTTAAAGTCAGAAATTAGCATGTAACTGGGAGATTAGCATGATGTTAGTGTGAGGGATTAGCATGTAACTGGTCACGGAAGTAGCTATGTTAAAGTCAGAATTTACATATCAACAGAGACATTTAGTATATTGACGCTAAAGAACTGCAACTACCCAACTATCATACAATAAACCGATGTGAAATTATTAAATATAAACTACATCAATATAATCAATGTACTCAATATATTCTCCAATAAGCTGAGCTATTAACATAAAGTAACTGGGTATATACTACACTATATAATGAATACCATATAGCAAACTGATAAAAAACTAAAATATGAACTACATAAATATTTTGAATAAACTCAATATACTCTCCAATCAGCTGAGCTACTAACAATAAGTTATTATACTTTACAATCCTATGTCGAAAAAAGTGGTGGTTTCTTTTTTCCTCAACGTTAGCAAAATAACGTTAGTGAAATAACTAAATATAAACTAAATCAATATAATCAATGTCAATTTTGCTTTAAAGCTTTCGTGACTGCAGGGATTCATATTCTTGGTTCCTTCGGTAAAATCACGTAGAAGGGAAACAATAAAATAATAAAAATATTAAACAATAAAATTCTCACGACGTTTCGACTGCAACACAAGCAATCAGCATAGGGTAAGGTTTCGAATGGCTCCTCAAGAGGATCCTTCTTCATGGTTGGAGTGATGGCTTTGCGGGTTACACGATCCTACAAAAAGATGTCCAAAAGATGTCCAAAATCCTGATTAAACACAATATCCAGGTCCGATTCAACACAGTACATAAAATCCATGATCTGGTCCCGTCTGTAAATGATGTGGTTCCAGACATACAGTACCCGGGCGTTTACAAACTAAGTTGCCTCTGTGGTAGCAGTTACATTGGAGAAACCAAACGACATATCTCGGACCTCATCCGTGAACATAAAGCAGACTTGAAACACGGTAGGACCAACACCTCGGCCGTAGCAGATCATTGTTCTAATTCAGTAGGCTCACATGCCATTGACTTTTCCAAGACGGAGGTTCTCTGCAAGCCATCCGACTACCATGAGAGATTTGTTCATGAGGCTATTCACATATACAAACACAGAGACAATTTCAACCGAGAAGATGGATTCTGGTTTAGTAATCATTGGAAAGACGTGATAAACCATTTCGGTTCTTGATTGATTGTATTTTACGGTGACTGTCAGACTGCAGTCCATTCGCTGGCACTGCCTCTTAGTACCTTTCACACGACGGTCAATGGTATGGTTTATAGCATATTGTATAATAAATAGTATAATCGTAATTGTATAGTGAATATACAGCAGTGTGTTATACAGTAGGGTTGGTAGAATAATACAGTGTAATATTACAAGTCTAATATTTTATAGTCTAAAGTATAGGGTAGTGTATAGTAATCCATTGTATAATTCAATGGTGGGGTTGGTCTATGGCAGTGTATATTACGATGTATAGTCGTGTTATGAAGAAAAAAGTTTAGTTGCATAATGTTAGAGCTTATATTGGGCTGTGTATACAATATTATACAATGTAGTTTAGATTGGATGCTATAATTTTGTAATGTATAGTAGTCTAGTTTATAGCATAGTTGTAACGCAACACAGGACAGAGCAGCGCATTGTGGTTGTTTCTCTCTCCCCCCACCTCCGTTCCGATCATAGATGGACTCGTCTGTCTGAACAAAGCTCGCTGCTTTCCGTGGTGCTAACGTTGAGGAAAAAAGAAACCGCCACTTTTTTCGACATAGGATTGTAATGTACAATGACTTATTGCTAGTAGCTCAGCCGATTGGAGAGTATATTGAGTTGATTGAAAATATTTAAGTAGTTTATATTTTAGTTTTTTTCAGTTTACTATGTGGTATTCATTATATAGTGTAGTGTATACCAGTTACTTTATGTTAATAGCTCAGCTTATTGGACAATATATTGAGTACATCTATTATATTTCGATTTAAAGCTTTCGTGACTGCAAGGATTCATCTTCTTTGGTTCTTTCGGTAAAGTCACGTAGAATGAGAATAAAATAATAATATAAAACAATAATACGTGACTTTACCGAAAGAACCAAAGAAGATACATCTATTATATTGATGCAGTTTATATTTGGTTTATTGTATGATAGTTGGATAGTTGCAGGTCTTTAGCGTCAATTTGCTAAATGCCTCTGTTTATATGTAAACTCTGACTTTAACATAGCTACTTCCGTGACCAGTTACATGCTAATTCCTCACACTAACATCATGCTAATCTCCCAGTTACATGCTAATTTCTGACTTTAAAATCCTGCTAATCTCTCACATTAACACAGCTACTGCAATGCTAAATTCTTCTGTTGATATGTAAACTCCTTTGTCAAAGCACTCTGCTCCTCCCACCCAGCTTAAAAGACGCTGCCAAGCTTAGCAGTGTTCATTGGAGCGCTGTCTTTCCGACAGTTCTGTTTATTCACCTGAGGAAGGCTACTTGTGTTGTGGCCGGAACGTAGTGAGAATTTTATTTTATTATGTTTTATGATTATTTTATTAATTCCCTTCTACGTGACTTTACCGAAAGAACCAAGACGCTCATAGCTTGTAAAACAAAGTATCACCTAATTATCAATCATCAGCAGCAGTCATAATCAATCCTCTGCTGGATGAAGACCTTCCCAAATCCACCAATCACCACCTTCTCCACTATCCTGCGATGTTAATAATCCGAATAGCACCTGTGCACGGACTGATGTCATCGCTCCCCCTCCTCGGTGGACATACTCTCGGACACGCTCCATTTCCTGCTCGAATTATGACTTTATGACGAAGTGTGTGAGCGTCAGGTGCCTTGCGTCTCACCAAATCTTCCTTTGCAGCTAACCGTTGGAAAAAAACAATGCACGGACTATTAAAAACGACATGCTAGAAATGAGAAAAAATAGTGAATTCAGCCAAGAATAAAGAAGTCACCATTGCCAATGCCATTTATATCACCACTCTTGCCATCCGTTCCTTTGTCTCATATGTATGTATATTTTTCTTCTTCTTCTGCTGCTCATGACGACGATTGAGATGATGTGGGTGAGGTAGTGCTCCCAGGAACCACACAGAGTTCGAAACTCGATTTTAAGCGTGTTTGGCATGCGAGCGGGAACTAGGCTACCCAGAGAAATCTTGCACATGCAAGGCGATAGTACTCACTATCGAAACAGATTAAAATAATTAACTTGCTGTACTTGTCCCTCCACATATCTATCGGACACACAGCTTCATAGATTTTTTTAAGCAGTTCAATATTCAGTATCTCATCAACAGTCAGGCTTGCTTAAAGCAATGCTAGTGAACAACTGCCAGATGTTTTTAGGCAATCCATCTGTTATTATGGGCCATATTTAGACACAAAACTATATGATGCATCACACTTTATATTACAAATATAAGAAACAAGGACCCATATCTAACAGAGTTGGTGGAGGGACAGATTTGGGAAGGAGGTTATCACTAATGATTCGCTTGTGTACTTCCTGCCATGTCCTGTCTCGGCCATGTTGGTAATGTGAATGCCGGAGTCACACAAAAGTACGAAGAGGAACTGCACATGAATCAGCCATCAAAACTATTCAAGAGCATGTTTGCATATGTGCAGGCCTGTATGAAGTAAACACAAATAAACAATTGTATCGTTACATTTCCTAGAAGGCTGCAAGTATTGTTGCCCCATGAGATCTAAATAGGCTTTTCATATTAAAGTGTTTTTTTTTCTTCTTCCACTGGCTTTAGAGTACTGTACAAACTTTATGGATATTTAATGTTTTCCCTCAAAACAAGATATTAAATCATTTTGTTTACACAGATGTATTTTTACTATGTATGACATAAGCAGACGTATTCTGTGGTATCGTATGCTCACTCTCTCGGTGATATATAGGTACTTTATTATTACTCTGAATATGTGCGAACATACCAAATAAAATCAATAGCAACAATTTGTACTTATAAAGTGTCAAAAAGAGGAGCATATCAATATGTTGTACCGTATAATGCACACCTTCTTAATAATTGCAACCTTAAGTGAATTATAATGAATGGACTGAAAAAGGTAATTTAACTCACTCCACTACTGGCAAAAGGGCCCCCAATAGAGGGGTCTCTCGAAATCCCCTCGAGTGGATTTGTGGCCAATTCTTCTCCAGTCGTCAGACGTCTTGTGGGGAGTGCCCCCACTCTGATCCCCACCAGGTGTGACCTGCCGATCGACTAACTGTGGTTGTACCCCACCTCCATGCTGCTGGGGTCAGGGGTCGTCAACCTGCCGCTCTGCAGCTGCACGCGGCTCTTTAATGGCTGCGTCGTGACGTCATTTATTAAGGATTCACGTACATTGCGGCTCTTGAAATTTCGACTTTTTTTTTGTTTGACCGAATTTGAAAACAAAATGACACTCCTTGTTATTTTGGCTCCTGACCCCTGTGCTGAGTGGACAGGGGCGGGGGAGGAGGTCATACAGACGACCTCCGGATTGCAAGGAGCAGCGTGATAACCATTATAACTGCGGCTTAATTTCGGATGCCCTGTGAGGCGTATTAAGAGTCTGAAGCAGCAAGCAGATGAAAAGGAGACGTTGGTATTCCTTTTTTTATGGAGATGGCTAGAAAGCATTGTTCGAACGTATTCTTTGTAAAGTTACCGGTTAACAGCGGAGAACAGAGTGGCTAGGGAACTGACCGGACAGACAATTAGCAGAGGAGGGGAGGTGGAATGCCAAACCCTCCGGGGAGCAAAGGAGCAGAGGAGCAGTGTAGATGTTAATTTATAGCTTCCCCACGTATGGCCTAAGCGGCGGCAGCAAAGTGAACAAACAGGGTAGGGTGAGATGAGAGGGGAGACCTGGACAGGGAGAAAGGCAGTGTAAACCTTTCCCATTCCGATGATATACGTCAAAAGTCATGATGTAAACGTCATCAGTTTTTTTTTCTCACGATTATGTTCTGATGACGTACGTAAGTCATCGGAACCGAATCGGAAAAGGCCATGCGGGAGGGCGTGGTGCAATTTGGCGCCAGCTATCATCGAGTGTCGATCATGTCACAACAGTTCTTTACGGTGAGTACAATGTCTTTAAAAACAGCGGCACTGTGCCTCTCTAAATAAAATTAACGCTAACCTCTTGCATGTTCCGAGATTCAGCAATGAACGGGACACCCACCTTGCAACTTACAGACGTCTTGCAACAGAAAAGGGTTAAGATCTTAAAAACAACGTGTACTTGAATCGGACCCTCAGAAGTGTTGGCATCATCTTCCTTCACTATATTTGTATGCTGCAAAAGTAAGTCATTGTGTGGGTTTAATACCCACACAATACAATTTAAATGTCACTTGTAACTTTGGATGCTTTATTTAAAAATTGTAAAAAAAACGCATATATATTAGCTCAGAATGAAAATCCTGCAAAATTTCCAATTAAACCCAAACGTAAAACCACTCTCAGATCAATAAAAAAGATCAATTAGAATCGATAACAAATGATTAAAAATCAAGGTGTGATTTAGCCTGGACCTCGGAACGGGGAGGTTTCTCGTTCACAATATTGACCGATTGCATATCGTCCTACCTTAAATTGCAATTTAAAATTCCGTGAGTGTTTGCTTTGGAAAATTAAGATGCATGGTGGACAATGAGCTGCCAGCACTAGTCAAATGACATGACATCATGTTGCTGCATCAGCCTTTGTTTTAATAGTTTGAAAACTGCCTCACGTTCAACTTTAAATGCAAATCCCTTAATATTTTCAGCCAATGCGTCTGTCCCACTTAGCCTCAAATGAGTACCAGGCGTGGTGTACAAACATCACCACTGGGGAGACAAAGGCGGCCCGGGGGTGGTGTTGGTCACCCACCCCCTCGTGTGCCGTGCCGTCAACACTTGCCCCAACAGTCTGTCCAGGCTATACGGGGGAGCTTTGTCTTTTGATGTGTTTATAAAGCTGTGCGTTTGTGTTTGCGTTTGTCTTTTGTTGAAATCGAAAGTCAAAGTAAGGAGCGGTAATGCAGTTTTTGTATGTCCTTGATGTTGAACTTCTTTCTCACTGTACGTAGCCCAACCGTGCTAATCGGAGGTGCAGTGATTAGCAGAATGTGCTATGAACCAGGCCGAAACGTCGTGATTTTTTTTTTTTACCTACGTGACTTTACCGAATAGAACCAAAGAGTACAGCAATTTGAGTTTGATTCTGTCCCCGGGCTGTTCACTCGTGCACCCTGCTTAATATTTTCAGTTGCTCAATAACTACACTTGCCCCAGCATCCTAAAAAGTCTTTACACGGGGGATCTTTGCCTCTGTATTTGAATATGCACTGGGCTTTGACGAGGTTGACTCAGCCTTAACTGAGTGCCTGTGTAAGCATCAGCAATCGGGATTAAAAGGTGGTGAGGCATATGCTCTCGCGGCTTTAGCAGGTGCCCTACCAGCTGATAAGGCTAAACAAAACAATAATTGGCATCATTATGCAGTGTATACATCACAATATAGACCAGTAGACAATACGTTTCAACCGTCTGTCTGTGCGCTCCGATGGGTTGCTTAAGAAACACTTTACAACCACTGACCCATTCATTCCTCATACACAGGTTCACTCATCGTGTGCTGGCTCACTCGCACATCATACACTGACTCACTCATCATGCGCTGACTAACACATCGTGCACTGGACTCACACATCATACACTCACTCACACTGCCGCTGACTCGCTCACACATCATACACTGACTCACTCATCATACGCTGACTCGCACATCATACGCTGACTCGCACATCATACGCTGACTCGCACATCATACGCTCACTCACACATAATACACTCACTCATGCTGCTGCTGACTCACTCACACATCATACACTGGGAGTGTCGTGCTGCCAGCTATGGCTGCAGGTTTTGTCGTACGTGTTATGTATATCGTTCATTGTTACATTTCAAATCACAGTTCCTATGATTACTGTTGTTACATTGTTTTTATAGCTTTATTTTGGTGTTTTGAAAACATATGGTTAATCTAAATTGTCTCATGGTTGTTGTTGTTGGCTTGCACCACATTTATTTTTGCACACAGCGTTTTAGTAAGTTTTTTTGTGTGTAATATTTGCTGGTTTAATCCAGGATGTTTCTGTTACGCGTTGTCGCTTTAAGATGTTCTCTGTGTTCAAAATTGTGTTTGTCGCGGTTGCACCCGACTTAAGAGCCGCATGGCTCACAGGGATATACCTAATAAATGAAATAAATAAATGAAACTTTAAACTTTAAATAGGTGGAGACACAGATACGCGAAGGAGAACATTATGAGGCTAAACGGAGCATATATGTCTTTGTGTGGATGCTCGTGTGTGTGTATATGTGTGTGAGGGCTTTAGGCATATCTCGTGGCCTGTTTATGCCGTAATGCGAATGGATTTGTTTCTTCCTGAGCGCTCCGATTTCTTATTAAGGGCAACGACTAAACACAAAGTCAAGCATTTGAAAACATGATGTCCGTGACATATTTTGAGACTTTTTCAGACTGTTTTAAAAGTACGTCCATGCATATTCTAATTCCGTGGGTTACCAAAGATTCAACTATTGACCTCATACATTCTTACTCGGTGGCAAGCATTCGAATTGCTCTGCCACCAGCTTCCTACTTACGTTCAGACAGTTGGAGACAGTTGGAAGAAAATAAAGAACACCGAGATCATATCTGGGTGCAAGTTAACGCTTTCTTTTTTGCACGCGTTAGTTTATTATAGAACCATGTTGAACAAAAAAGCGTTGTACTTGAACCCGTAATACATCCAGACCCTGTCTCTAAATGTTGCCGGTGTGTTTCCTACATCCGCCAAATTGTTATTGACTAGTCCCTGTAATTTGCTATCATTAACAGACATAAGCCTCCTGAAGTTCCACTCACCGCAGATATTTGTTTTTATTTTCTCAAAGGGACAAAAAAAATGAAGGGAAACAATAATATAATAAAAAATAAAAATATAAAACAATAAAATTCTCACGACGTTTCGACTGCAACATATTTTTCTTGCTGTGGTTTTCACACCTGATGATGATTGCTTGTGTTGCAGTGGAAACGTCGTGAGAATTTTATTGTTTTATATTTTTATTTTTTATTATTTTATTGTTTCCCTTCTACGTGACTTTACCGAAAGAACCAAGAATAAGGTGTCTCCTATAAACCTTGTCTCCGAATCACTGACACTACACATGTGTTACATTTAATATGGTCATCGCCACATTACTATGTATTCTTCACACTCTATGTATGAACCCAGTGTGGTTCCATAATTTTAATGCAATGACAAAAGTGTCTATTCATTAAATGTATTCATGAAATTAAACGACCTTCTTTTACCATGCAGAAATGTAATATAATTATTATGATGCAAACATCATTGACAGATTTCCTATTTGAATTCACAATATGAAACTTGAGTCTCAAGCGGCATTGGCTCATTTCCCTAACATGGGCATCATTCACTTACCCTCCCTCCTTTTCATTTCCATGTTATATCCTTGGCTTTCTGTGCATCTGAATTATTGTATTGTGTAAGTCTTTGCCACAGGAGAACCATAGTATCTAAGCACTAAGTACAGTGGCTCCTTAGCATGCAATTAAAAGGCAATTATTTAAAAGTACAATTCATCATCATGATTATCTTAATTACCATGGATTTGAAATCCATTTAATTCCAATATGTGCCTTGCATCATGGCCAAAGCAAAACGATGTGAAATGTATTTTAACGTGACATGTTTAGTCTCGACACAACATCTTAATATTGGATCTAATCGCTGAATGTGGTTGTGAGAATTGTCGAAACAACAATAATTTGGCGCGTTAAACACGTATTCATGGGACAATTGGTTTGTTGGCTATGTTCGGTGGTGGAGGGTATTAACAACACATAGTTGGCAGTATCATTAGGGTGGCCTAATCCGAACAAAAATTACTGTAATCGATAATAAAGGCTGCGTTACTATCGTGAATTGTCGCAGTAATTTTAACGAGCACCGTACACACTATTCCACAATTTTATAATTCACAGTGGCTTTGTAAGTATTATTATTCCTTGGAGCAAATATATCAATAAAATTAGTCATAGTGGTACCTTCTTCAGCAGGGGCAAGAGCAGTCGTGGTGTTGTTGACTTGGATCGGAATACAACTCCGACGGACGATGCTCAATACTTCTCGGGCATAAAGCCCTGGGTGGCTGCTTATCTTTTTCATACTCTATTGGGAGAAAGAACGAGAGGGATTAACTCGTTTACAAGCAAAACTCCGTTCTGTACCTCTGCATACAAAAACAACCCTATGTTTTAGGCTATAGGCCTTTCCAGACCAATATTATCACGCAGAATTTGCCTAAAGCGAGCAAACTCTGGACTGGTTTTGACCTTCACAGATGTCCTCCTAGACATCTGTGAAAAAGAGCTTCATAGCACATCGGATTCTTCCTGCAGTCTAAATAAAGATTCAGATGAAGACAAAAAGATTCGGATTCTGACCTTTTGGATCTCATCAGCAGTGTCAGGTGTGTGAAACTAATGCTGCTGCTGCTGCGTGTCCAGACAATCGACTTGGTCAGCATCCACCAACATAAGCACTCACTGGATTGGCCGACTTGTTTTGCTTAGCAACTGATGGATGCAACACAAAAATAAATAAGTAAAATAATTCATTTGGAGATGCAGTACATATGGTAGTTGAGAGGAGGTACTTACGAGGACTGGGAAGCGGCACACCTTTGTATCATACTCAGTTGACATTTTCTCCCTGGGTCTAATGTTAACACATTGCACAAAGTGTGTATTTATGGCTGAGTTGACCAGGTCAAGTTTAAATACAAATACCACTGATATTCTACATGGCCAGGAATTGAACCTTGATTATTTTAATTGTTTGTTATATTAATACTTCTTCTTAAGCGCTGAACCTAGGCAGTTGCGACAGCTGTAGAGCGAGCGGCTCGCAATCAGAAGGCTGCAAGCTCAAAATCTGGCTTGCGGTTGACTATGCCGAGAAGTTCCCCTGCCATAGGAATGTGGAATTTCCACCACCAACGTAGTGCTGTAAAAAGGACATCAGCACAGCTTCTAAACCGGAGTACCGAGAGAAAACCCACCGTGCATGTGGAATAAGACTTAAATCTATGCACAGATTCAAGAATCCATTGATCGACTGCCAACTTACGACAACCCTACAGCCGACCACACCCCAAGCGTTTGACTATAGAGTGCTTTATACCCACACACTAGAGGACGACACTAAGCACATAAATCCTGGCAATGTCACTGGGTGATATCGCGGTCCAACATTAAAATCACCAGTAAATTTCTATGTATCTATGTTAAAAAGCAATCATTGCTATACGCATTCAACTCTGAATATCTCACATTTCTGTACACGACACAGCAATACAATGGTTATTTAAAGAAATGAATGTAATAATGTGCAATGGCACTGTATTAGAATGTCAAAAAAACATCAGCAGAGACCAAACTTAAAATTGTTGCTTCATTGAAAATTGTATATATATGTCCGCCAACAGGAGAATGCAGTAAACACCAGAAGAATGGCATCCTAATCTCTAATAACATTTTTTATTTTGTGTCCTTTTATCTGAATAATGCACTTTGCATGTGCATGTAGTCTGTGCTCCTGTGAGCACTGGCGAGTCAATATTTGCATCAATAATATTCCCACATCGATAAAGGTGACATTTAAACACGACCTCCACAGTGCACGGCAGAGCATGCAACATGTGTTCAAGAGGACAGATATCATATTGAGAAATTAACATGGGACACCCAGCGATGTGACATGAATTTTGATCCACTGTGCTGTCTTACCTTATCTTAATGGACGAAAATATGTGTTGTTATAGTTGCTCTTCTTGGCCAAACGAACCAACAAGTATGTTTCAATGGCAACACGTATGATGGCGGTATAGAATTCACGCGCCCTTGCTCACAGCATCGTGCAGCCACGATAAGAAGACAGACTTTGAAATATATTTTCCCCCAAATTTAAACAAAGTAATGTGAAGGGAAAAAAAAACTATATATTATCGTTCACCCATGATCCATAATCTATCCACTCTGGATGACGCTGCAAAGTATTATCTGTATTTTGATTTAGCGTGCTGATCTTAAAGGTGCATTGAAAAATTTGATACTCCGACTGATGCTTCTGTTGTTGTGGAATAACTCATGCAGCCAGCTATGGCTCTAGGATTTGGTGTTACATGTTATTTATGTAGTTTATTGTAAAAAAATCGGTCACAGTCCCTGTGATCACTGTTACATTGCAATTATGGCTTTATTTTTTGGTGATTTCGAAAAGTTTTTTGGTTTGGACATGTTTGTTTTGTTGTAGTACGGAGTTAGACTGATGGCCTTAATCTAAGTTTTTGTGGTTGTTGTTGTTGTTGTTTGACTTGTATCCCACTGGGATTTTTTGCAGCCAGCGTTGGTGTATGGTGCTTTTTTCAGGAATGTTTTGCTGTTTTTTTCATGGATTTTTTTTGCACAGTCGCATAGTCACTTTAAGATGTTTTTCTTGTTCGTGTTTTTGTTTTTTTGTTTGTTGTGGTTGCACCCGATTCAAGAGCCGAATGGCTCACAGGGCTATACCAAAATAAATCAACTGAAACTGAAAACTGAAACTGAAATACCTCCCAAGCCGTCGCCATCTCTCACGGTCCTGCGATGCAACGATCCGTCCAGCACCTGCACAGGACCTGATTTTATCGCTCCCTCTCAGCAGTGATTGTGCTCATGGCCCCCTTGAGTCCCTATGTGATAACCAGATATTTATAAGTGTTCCTTGTTGTCCATTACTTGTATTTTGCCCGTACTAAGCTTGAATCCAACTTTGCAGATGTCTTAATTAAGTTCACTTATTATTTCCTGCTGTTCATGACCATTGATTGGATGTTATGACTTTCGCATCAGCAAGTCTGAGATTGTTTAATCCTTATTCTATCTGTGCTTATGTATTTATTTTCCAATCAATTTTATGACTATATTATTTTATGTCGTTGTAACTTTGCTGAATGTGTGTCTCTTGGTCTGACTCCCTAATATTTATGTTACTTAATACAATCTCAGTGTAACTGTTACATTATTGTAAAACTATATATTGAATTGTTATTACCTTCGTGCCTGGCGTTTATTTGCTGATTAAAGGCATTTAGCTATGTATAATTTGATGCACGATACACTGACAGTGATTATGCATATTTGTAGAGAATTATATTGCATCAGTATCATCACCATCATCATATTTCACATCCATAGCATAACTTTATACCCGACACATTTTCAGAACGCACAAGATAAAAGACAAAAGAGATGCATGCCTTCACACAAACAGCCAAACTGTATAGAAATAATTTTGTTTTAATTGAGCATGAATCGACTGGATTTGACAGTTCAATTCCTACAGCCATCTGCTAATTTCCGCAGGGAATTGCTTCGCAAGCCATCTAGTTTAAAGTGGGCATTAAAGACAAAAGTAGGCCATTATGTGCCAACCACGACTCAAATGTAACATTTTGTACTTGTTCACAATTGCCGCTACAAAAGTTTGAGTACCAGTTCTCCCGTAAAAAAAAATCAATAACGGATCTCAATTGCATCTCTCCTGGTTAAATAAACGAGTATGTTGAATTCAGAAGACGTCCCAAATGCGCAATATGCGTTAACTGCCGACCCTGTCTCCACCCTCCTTGAGCAACGCAAACAGGATCACGCGAAGAATAACGATTTACAAATTTTAACACGGGCCTACGCTACACGACTCATTCCGAGTTGCCTGAATGTTAATCAATTTGATGCTACAGTGGAAAGGTCAACTGTCATTAAGAGCTGTTGATTATCTTGGCTCATCATACAATACCTCTAACCACTGATTACTCCAACTAATGAAAAGCAATCTGCAGTTGATATAGGTTCCCACGAGACAAAGCTCTGGCATTTGAATTAGAGGCTCTGGGACATGGCTACGGTGTGTGCATGCATGATTACAACTATCTCGAGCTGGCTACTCCAGTGAATTTGAAATGAGCGGGCACCACGGTGGCGAGATGTTAACTTTCTGGCCTGGTATGCAGGAGGCCGTAGGTTCGATCCCAACCCTGATGCCTGCTGTATATTTAGGAGTTTGTATGTTCTCCCCGTGGTCGTGTGGATTTTTCTACGAGTCCTCAGGTTTTTCCCTAATTTAGTATCAACATGCGTTTAGAGTATTTGGCTGTTATAAATTTTCCACGTGATAAGCCACTTCATTGAGCTATCATTTGTGGCCAGGTCGCTTGTGAAAAAAAGAGCTATGTAGCTCAGTGGGCCTTGCCTGGTAAAATAAAAACAGTTCATAGTATAAACAGCTTAAATGCAGAAAAAATATATTTTGGGGGTTACTGCAAAACGGAGGGGTACATTTTCCCACGATTGTTAACTTTTATTTGAATGTTCCATTGAAGAATATTGCGCATGTCATTAGTACAATGCTGAAATTTAAAAAAAAACATATTTCTGAACTACTGCATATGGTGAGACATAAATCCACCGTTCTCACAATGTGCTCAGGAAATCGTATCATACTACATGGGAAGAACTTGTTTTCTGGTTGGATAATCTGTGTGGATTCCTGAACAATAGCCTCCCTCAAGGCTCGGTCGATACGAGGGAGGGATAGAGGGAGTGAGGGGCGGTTGGCGGTACGGAGGGACGGCCACGTCCACATGACGTGCAGGATGTTAATTTGTAATGTATTTTTGTATCAATATCAAATGCGTATAAATACATATACAAAGGAAGCACATATTCATATACGAATGGAGGAAAGTGCTGTTAGTGAGCACCTATTAAGGCCAACACAACTAACGAATATGCAGGCCTGATCAGTTTTATCTCCCCAGTGCTGTTGACTATATTATGTCAGACTCGAATTGAAGGGCGCGTTATCCTCAGGGAGACCAAAGCAACAACAACAGAGGGAGTAAGGGAGCAAAGGAAGTGGGAGACAGGATTGCAATTATACCGAAGGTTTGCCCCCGAGGTACTAGTTGGCAAGACCATAGCAAAACTCAGCAGAGGTGGCGTTCTTGGCATGAATTCACCATTAGAAGGGAACGCATGGTCCATGCGGTAATGAAACCTCACTACACTGTGGAAGACAATGCCACTGTATGCGTATTTGTTATTGCCAATTTAACCACCTACGATCAGCAACATGTCATCACCATATATACACACACACACAAACATGACTCGAAAAGTATATTTATTTTTTATTGCAAGAGATGGTCATTTATTATTTAGGCTATTTTTGTTGTTGTATGCGTGTACGGTTAAGGTAACGCTCAGAGTCAGGGTCAGGGTTCATGTTCCAGTTACTGAACTCGATCAATAAACATCAAATCACGGGGAAGGAAATGTTTATCTGGCTATACCGGCAAAATATTGCGAGTTACGGGAAAGTATAATTACGGGAAAATGTAGAATTGGTGTAAACGTTTGAAACTATTTTCGTGATATATTTTAATTGTAACAAAAATATTCACCTGGGATAATCCGTTTACACATTGGACAATTTCGTTTGTAAGTGTCCAGGATGTCAAGTGACATATTCAACATGTAAACATCGTAAAGACAACTACTTATCATATACATTTATACAATGTCAAGGACATTTACACAGAGTCATGGACATAAAAAAGACATCACACCACTGTCACACTCCTAAATAAGTGGTGCACACTGCCAGTTTATAAGGAATGTGCTCTAGGCGTAAATATAAACTTCATTGGTCATTGGTATTTAAGTGAAAAGATCATACCTGTACATGTTATTCATCAATTAAAGTGTATTCTTATGCTCACAATACATGCATAGATGAATGAGAAACTACAATTTATACAAATCCCTAGGGGATGGATCAGCGACACCGGTGTTCAGCACATTACACTATAAACCTAACGACCTAAGTTCTATTCCCAGCCACAGCTAACATCAGTAGTGATAAGACACTGTATGTTCAAGCCAGTTCAGAGTTTGCCTGTACTCATTGAACGCTGCTGAAATTATGCACTCCCAGAAGGTCGTTGGACCGATTAGGTGTGTATGAAATATTTTTTTGGAGAGAGAAATATGAAGGAGACTTTGTTTGCTTATCTGTTATTTTTATATTCTACACAACAAAGCAATATATTATTTCGTGTTATACATCAGTAGTGATTAATATCCGCAACAATGCTACTGAATTCCAAAGTTTAACATTGCGAAGTAACAAGCAAAAAGAGAAGTGGTATGACCCATAGTTTGGTGATTGAACCCAGTATGGATGAGACGAAAACAGTCATTCTGGTAGACTGAGTCCTCAAAGTTTCCAGTTATTTAAGCACGTGGCATTGGATTGAAGGCCAATGTGTACCCAGCCGACATTGTTTAATTGCTCTGTCACCCTGCAAGGTTAATTTCCACATTCCTTTCAGAGTTTTCTGAGTCCCCCTCGGTGGTATGTGCTTGTTCTGAACAGATTATCATAATTGGTGACTTCAATGTTTATATTGATACACCATCAAAACCTAATGTCAGGGACTTTTTGGCCATCCTTGACCCTTTTGGTTTCATCCAGCATGTAAAACAGGCAACACAGTCTGGTGGACATACTTTAGATTTGGTTTGTTCTCTTTGGCTTTCACTATCTGCATTGACTGTGATGGCTCCAGGAATCTCAGGCCACTCTTTGGTCCTCTTTGATATATTCCTGCCTCCTCCTGGTCCTTCTATTATCCATCGAATTTAATTTCTCTAAATTGCGTCTATCTCCACAGCCTCTCTCACAGACGCCTCATCGAGTTTCCCACTGGCTAATGAGTGCGAGCTTCCCGTTGAAGGAGCTGTTCGATTATATAACTCTGTTCTGTCAGAGATCCTGGATCATTTGGCTCCCCTCCGAACCCGCGGATATCTTTACATCGCCTTTCGCCATGTCGCACTGAAACATTGAGGGTGCATAAAACTACCGTCCGTAAAGCAGAACGTGCTTCGAGAAAGTCCAGCCTCACTCTTCATCATCAAATATTTAAAGAATAACTTTGTACTTATCATAAGAACAATTGCCTTGGCTAAATCCCCCTACATAGCTGGTTGCATAAGAAATAGTGATAACAATTATCGGACCTTATTTTCCTGCATAAGTCAACTTTTTAATAAGGAACAAAATGTAATCTCCCACTCCTCCGCTGATTTTTCTAATGAAATTCAACAGTTTGTTCACGATACAATTCCCATTATCAAGTCCAAATTAATGTCTCTTCCCTCTTTTTCCAACTTGCCTCCAAATCAGTTCGAGGGCACATTGTTGACCGGGTTTCCCGCCAATTCAACTGCAGAACTTCATATTTTTACTTGCTGTCTCTTAACCTACCAGCTGTCCACTGGATCCCTTCCCTTCAAGGCTGTTATGCGACAATTCTGTTATGCTGAGGCCGTATACCCTCAGTATTCTCAACAGGTCCCTCAAAACTGGCACCGTTCCTGACAGTTTTAAGATGGATGTGGTGACCCCACTTAAAAAAAAATACGGGTCTTGATGCCAAGCTTCTGGAAATTTTTCGCCAAATATCCAACCTTCCGTATTTGTATAAAATTCTGAAACGAGCTGTGGTAACTCATTTACATCAGCACCTGGCTTCAAACAATCTATTTGACCACTTTCAATCGGGGTTCCGGCCTGTGCAGAGCACCGAGATTGCTGTGGTAAGGGTGGTCAATGATTTACTTTTGTCAGCAGATAAAGGCTTTGTCAGCCTCCTCATTCTGCTACATCTCCATTGATCCCGGGGTTCTCCTTAAGCGATTATAAGTTTCAATGGGGATCTCTGGCATAGCTTTGTTGTGGTTCTACTCTAACTTAAAGAAACGTAGGTACTTTGTCACAAAGGATGGCTTCAAGTCACCAATTAGACCAGTTCTCTGCGGTGTTCTGCAGGGATCTGTCATTGGCCCATCACTTATTAGCATCTACATGGCACCATTGGATATTCTGCTCCGACATTCTGGCTTATCCTACCATTGCTATGCAGATGACACTCAAATTTATATCCAGTTAGAACCGGACTACGTAACAGCTTCTTCTGCGCTATCTGCATCACTAACAGTAGTGAATTCATGGTTGCGCCATTTTTTTTTTGCTATTAAATGGCAACAAGACCGACGCCATATTCATCGGCTCCCTTCTGCCTCTTTCTAAAATTGGTTTGCCTCGTTTGTTAATTGATGGTCACGATGTCAGCCCCACATGGGAGGTCAGAAACCTTGGTGTTCAGTGTGACCAGTCATTATCCTTTGAGGCACGTATATCTAAGGTGGTTAAAATTTTCCTTTTCCACTGACGAAATATTGCCAGAATGCATCGATTCCTGTCACCTGCTGACTTGGAGAGACTGGTCCATTCTTTTGTGTTATCCAGACTCGACAACTGCATTGCCTTATCGGTTGGATTTCTGAGCAAAGTACTGGGCAGACTCCAGCTTGTTCAAAATGCAGCTACTAGAGTGCTTAAACTTACACCAATCCGTGAGCACATTACACCAGTCCTCTTATCTCTTCATTGACGACGAATACAATTTCGAGTGGATTTTAAGATACTGCTATTAACCTATAAGGCCTTAAGAAGGGCTCACCCCACATTACTTGTAGGAACTAATACATTCATATATTCCATCAAGGTCATTAAGATCATCTGATCTCCAACTGCTCAGCACTCCCAGGTATAGGTTGCGCTCTTTTGGTGATCAGGCTTTTGTAAGTATTGCATTCAATTATGGAACGCTCTGCCACTTAAAATCAGTAAATCGGAGTCGGTAGATATATTTAAGTATGCTTTGAAAACTCATTTCTTTAAAGTGGTCTTCCCTCTTTAGTTTGGTTGGTTGCCCTGGTTCTGTTTTTGTTTCCTGTTTTTCATGCATTGTGTATTGGGATCCTAGAATAGAATGCAAATGATAAATTGTAATTATTAATAATAGCGATAGAAGGGTGATAAGGAGGTGACTGACCAACAGTGAGCGAGTAACTGGAATGAGTTAGTGAGTGATGGATCAGCAATCTAAACGAACCTATTTTTTTATTTTACCAGGTAAGGCCCACTAAGCTATATTGCTATTTCTTTAAGAAGCTCCTTTGCCACAAATAATAGCTCAAACGAAGTGGCTTATCACGTGGAAATCTATTGCAGCCAAATACTCTAAATGCATGTTTCTACATATGGAGGGAAAAATCGGAGGACCCGAAGAAATATCCACAAGACCACAGGGAGAACATTCAAACTCCAAATATACAGCAGGCATTAGGATTGAACCCACGACCTCCTGTATACCAGGGAAACATCTCGCCACCGTCGCACCCAAAACCTGAGCATTGGATCAGATGTATGAGATTGCACAGATAAACGGTGACAGTGGCAAGGTTGTACTTACGCGTGACGTCAGCGTCACATCCTTGAGTGCGTATATCTTGTTGGTGATGTCTCTTCCAATGAGGCTCGCAAAGACCACTTCCAGAAATGGGATCGTCTTCAGGAAGTATATCAGACGCTCTTGCGACCAGGACACAAGCTGGCAGTCGTCCATTGCCGATATCGATACCTGGTGGTAACATCACACCCCGCTCCTTCGCTCACTCACTCGGTCACTTAAGGGATCCCCATCGGGGCAGACCAATCTGTTTACGGTAGTAGAGGCTATGTTTGATTCATGTAACATTAATAGGGGAGAGCAGAGGTGCAGTGGCTAGTGGACCGTGCGATGAATGTGGCGGCCTGAATTTGATTTCGGGCCACGGCTAATGCCAATGGCGAGTGATATCTGAAGCCATCTTGGGGCACTCCTTCCGCCTTCACGAATCCGTCCTGATCAGCGCGGTGAGGTATGATCAAAACGACCCCCCATGACGCGACTTGGCGTGTGGGGGCCCTCATTCAGCAGTGGATTGACAAAAGGGTGCACATGAATGGGCAGTTAAACAGATCAGGTAATAAGGAAACCTGCCAACTGGGGGTGCTCTTTCAAATGTGTTGAGAAGTGATGTAAACTCTTTGGTTCTTTCGGTAAAACTGATGTGAAGCTCTACGTGGTGAGTCTATGGGTCTCTAACTGGTCAGTCTATGGCTCTCTGAGTGGTGAGTCTATGGGTCTCTGTGTGGTGAATCTATCGCAATGAGATGTCCCAGCATATCAAACACCAATTATTATTCAACAATTATTTGGTTATAAAGCATTGGCAGTGGTGCACAAAAACAAATATAAAAAAGGCAATGCATTTCTCAATAACACTGCCTTAAGAGTTGAAATAGATTCGTCTATTACATATATATTTCCAAACGATAGGTAATGCTATTCAATACACAGCTGAGTTTTTAAGATACCGTAGTTATTTACATGTCTATACGGCATTTGCTTCATGTTTTATCACTTGACCCCTCTGTATAAACTACTTTGTCATTTATGATTAACAGAAACTCATTAAAAAGTTCCTCTTTTGGTGATACATGGGCCTGTCAAGATCTATGAGCATAACCACTCTGCATTAAAATTTAAAAATATATACTTTTCGAAACCATATCCTCACTGACAGGTACCATAATCTGAAGTCGATGCAGAATGCGTAAAACATATCACTGAACAAATGAGAAACTCAACCTGCAATTGTTATCAAACATAAACAATGCAACTTTTTAACGTCCACTCTTCAGTCACGGACATGAAAGTATCACATCCATCTGCTAATTAAGTGAGAATGTCTGTTATATCTAATTCTGTGTTTCTACCCACTCCAACACATCACGAGTTTGCGTACAATATAACTTTTTTTGCATTGAATGATGTCCCGTGTAAATTTTTAATGGAATAGTCTAGCTTATAGCCATCTGGTAATACGTAAGCATTTGTTTAACAAGCCTGATTCTTCTGGTGAGACCCAGGAGGTAAAAACCAAGGCAGAATTTAATAGCTTAAACAAATGCTACTTAATAATATTGGTCTGGAAAGCCAGTAGGCTGATGGACTAGAATTGATTTATATATATAATGTGGAGAGACTGAAGGGAGTTCTGCTTAAGCTTGCTTTTACCTATGATATTCCACAACATAATCACTTTCTGTGAGGTTAGTCAGTTCCATTAAATACGAAGCAGGCTCTGTTGCTTGAAACAGCTGTTGTTCTATTTTATGATAATCTAAATCTTTATGCTGGAGGAATCCGATGAGCCATGAAGCTCTTTTTCACAGATTTTATGCTGCATCACACAACTTGTTGATGAGGAAGCCCTTTTCGTTTTGGGGATAATGGCTTTGGCAAATGATTAATTTGGCCATGACACCGGCGGACAATTGCATCATGTTGGAAAATGCACTGCGGGACCTTTAGCTTCCCAAACAGACGGGAAATCAGGGTTAATATCTTCACGTAAAGATGGATATTAATCAGCAACCAATACAAAACCTCAACTGTTATGAAGCCCCTTCCATTAGAAACGCCACTTCAAACGATACAAGCTCTAAAAACAGCAGCAACTGTAACAAAAGTAGTTAGTTGTAATCACCAGCGAAACGTCGCACTCGAATTGTAAATGTTGTGTGTTTACTCTCCAAAACACCGATGTGTTGAACTAGTAATTAATTGGGATTTTTTGTTTACGTGACAAACTTTACTAATTGGCTGTGTCGGGTGGTGGCGGGTTTAACGACACATTTATATTTACTTCCTTATACAAAATAAATGCGTTCCTGGAGCTTCCTTCGTAAACATTGAATCACTTATAAGATTAGCACTATGAGGATGAATTCCCAGCCTTCGTAACTTGCTATTTCATACTATAAACACTTAATAATTTACCATTCATATTGTACAAAAATACAATTTATATTGTAAATATTATATTTTACACTGTACGGTATTAAAATAAAATAAAAAAAACTGACAAAGTAAAAAAGCATATTCTTCTTATGTACATAATACAGGAGATTTACATGGTCAAACGTTATTTAATTAGTATTTATTTTTTGCATATCATTCTACTCATATTTCCCCCCTCATTAATATGAATGGTAATAAATCTAGAGTTTGTTTAACTGAAACTTCGTAAATTGAATATTCGCACGTCTAGGCATTACCGGACGAAGATTGCTTCATTAATCATGAATTGGAAAACGGTCATTCATTGCATTGCACTTAAGAGTGTTCGATAACTCTTGCGATGAATATTAATGCGACTTTGGTAAAGGTAGCCATGTGCCTCTGCATACTTTCCCGTCTCCCTCCGTTTCCCTTAATTGGGCCGCTGAGACCGGCCACCGATAGCGAGCCGACGCATTCACGGTCCAGCGCACAGGGGGACTGTGACATAACAATTAGAGCCATCTTTGACTTCTTGCGGCAAACACAACCCCCATTGTTAATTCTTGGCATTGCTTGTCCAAGGCAATACAGAAAAAAACATCCTTGGCATGTTTTGACCCTCTATGCTGTGGAAGCGGCGCAAGATACAGGCCGTCTGCGTGCATGCCGGTTGCATTCTGCGGCGTTATAATTAGTTGTCCAACATGGCTAGACAGACATCCGACATTTGGAGCATGACAGATTGCATTTCCAGCAACATCGTTTCCGTTGAAGGCGGTGGCGAGCATGGGGGAAATGGGGAACACAAAAAAATGAATTGTTTTTTTTTATTCTCGAAGGGATTTTGCAAAGAAATGAGATGTCACGACAGCGACAAGGAGGTCACATTCAGTGTGTCCCTTCAGGGAAGGTGTTTTCCGTGTTATAGGTCAAAAGGGCTTTCGCACGCTAGATCGTGTCGTATACTATTCAGACCCACGGGCAATTGTGGATCCATTGTTCAGAATGAACAAGCCGGCGGATATCCCACGCTTGGTATCAGTAACTTTGCGCATCCACAAATTCTTACATCGATGGCCATCTCATCGCAGCAGTCTCTTCTACTTTCACTGACTGCAGGGTCAACAATGTCAGCGTCTTCCTACTCCTACAAGCATTTACGAAGCACTCTGATGTGTTGGTGGCCCGAAGCCATTTGTAGAAATTCCACAATCCCATCGTCGCGAGAGCCAGCCTAACATCGGAAAACCGCCTGATGATCTGCTTTTCATGCTCAATAAAGGTGGCTTCCACTTACATCCACACAAATTGTACGAGCACCTTGAAATGTGTGAATATATGTATGTATGTTTAACACGTAGGCTTCCACGACCAATATTATCCATAATAGAGGTTTTTTTGGGTTAGATCCTATGAGCGTCTAATTAATCAAAAGAAAAAACTCTATTATGTACGTATGCGTGAATGTGTGGAGGTGGATGTCAAATATGCTAATGTATGATAAGAGGCAGCTCTCTAGTTTAGAGTTAAAAGAAAGTCAACAGTTGACAGGAAATGCCGCGGTGCCAAGGTTAAACAACAAGCGCGTCTGCGTGCCATTTTCGCGGAACAGAAGAAGAAGAAGAGGAAAAACAATAATTTTTCAAAACTTGACCACTTCACTTCAAGGTCTTCTTTCCATGAAGCTGTTATATATATATGCCTCGAGACCTATAATTAGTGTTACAGCTGTGTCTGCGACCTGTCATCCATAAAGGGCAACTTGACTGACAATTCGCCCTGTAAAGTGCACTCCGCGAGCATGAGAAATGTTTTAAAGGTATCACCTGAGACCTATCTCCTTTTTGTGTCTCCATCATCCGGTATTCCACTGAATCGATGAATGCGTTTGGGTAAATAAAATGTAAAAAGCGTCCTTGGCAAGTCACCTTCATTCTGAAACAAACCATTCGCACAAGACAGCATATACATACGTGTATATGTTTAACTTTTTTCGCAACGTACAAAGCCGACCGTGCTAATCGCAGGTGGAGGGAAGGATAACAAACTAAATACAAAAAGCAGTTGTAAAGAAATGAGTTTTCAATTTAGATGTAAAAGTTCATGTATGTATGTTGAACTTCTTTCGCAACGTACGTAGCCAACCGTGCTAATCGGAGGTGGAGGGAAGGACAACAATCTTAACACAAAAAGCAGTTGTAAAGAAATTCGTTTTCAATTCAGGTTTAAAAGTTCATGTGTGATGTATGTTGAACTTCTTTCGCAATATACGTAGCCAACCGTGCTATTCGGAGGTGCAGAGGAAGGACAACAAACTAAACAGAAAAATCAGTTTTAAAGAAATTAGTTTTTTAATCTAGATGATTAAAAAGTGCATCACTCCAGTGGCTTCCTTATATTAGAAGGAAGAGTGTTGCAGGCGCTGGCCGAAGCGTTAAGTCGACACAATTAAGTCTCCTTTGTTTGACTATATGAGATGAGAGCGTTCAGAAATTTAATGGGGATTGTTTCGTGAAACAACTTTATTGCCTTTTTTGTGAAAAACTGGAAAAAATGCATTCAAATGTTGGCAATTTCCTGCCCACCAGCTGGATACATTCTTGCCGCAACACATGAATGAGGCTAATTATATCTATGTATTATCAAGTCCACGGAGAAAATACTTAAAGTGAGACATTTATTAGATTGACAAATGGATAATTAAAAAAATATATAGGTAGAAATTTGGTAGGTATTTAGATAGAATAATACATTGATACATATATATGTGGATACAACTACAGAAAGTGGTTATTATGAGAGAAGAGGCCACTCACTTTCCCTTGAGTAAAATGCTGAGCCTTCTGTCGATGGGGGTTTTGTTCTCAAGGGCGTACACCTCGCCCCTGCGTCTCGTCTCTATCATGCAATACTGAGACACCAATGAGCGGAACACCTCTCTGGGCACGTTGAGAGGTGCGAAGAGCTCAACGTACAAGTCGCTCAGCTCTGGGGGCAGCTTTACCTGGAAAACAAAACAAAAACCAAGCTATTATCATCACTCGCCACGGTAGTGAGATGTTAACTCCTTGACTTAAAGCTTTCATGACTGCAGGAATTCATATTCTTGGGTCTTTCGGTAAAGTCACATACAGTGAGGGAAAAAAGTATTTGATCCCCTGCTGATTTTGTACATTTGCCCGCTGACAAATAAATGATCAGTCTATAATTTAATGGTAGGTTTATTTGAACAGTGAGAGACAGAATAACAATGACAAAATCCAGAAAAACGCATGTCAAAAATGTTATAAATTGATTTGCATTTTAGTGAGGGAAATAAGTATTTGACCCCCTCTCAATCAGAAAGATGTCTGGCTCCCAGGTGTCTTTTATACAGGTAACAAGCTGAGATTAGGAGCACACTCTTAAAGGGAGTGCTCCTAATCTCAGCTTGTTACCTGTATAAAAGACACCTGTCCACAGAAGCAATCAATCAATCAGATTCCAAACTCTCCACCATAGCCAAGACCAAAGAGCTCTCCAAGGATGTCAGGGACAAGATTGTAGACCTACACAAGGCTGGAATGAGCTACAAGACCATTGCCAAGCAGCTTGGTGAGAAGGTGACAACAATTTTTTTTGTCTCCCCCCTCCTCTTTTCAGAACATAGATAGACTAGTCCGTCTAAATAAACTGCCAAATCGCTGCGCGTGGCGCTAACGTTTTTTAAATAAATAAATAAATACAGCGTTTAAAATAAATGCATTTATGCAAACCGACACACCTGAAGACGACCGTTTGTGTTATGGTCGAAACGTCGTGAGAATTTTTATTGTTTTATATATATTTTATTATTTTGTTGTTTCCCTTCAACGTGACTTTACCGAAAGAACTAAGAATATGAATATAAGGTGACAACAGTTGGTGCGATTATTCGCAAATGGAAGAAACACAAAAGAACTGTCAATCTCCCTCGGCCTGGGGCTCCATGCAAGATCTCACCTCGTGGAGTTGCAATGATCATGAGAACGGTGAGGAATCAGCCCAGAACTATACGGGAGGATCTTGTCAATGATCTCAAGGCAGCTGGGATCATAGTCACCAAGAAAACAATTGGTAACACACTACGCCGTGAAGGACTGAAATCCTGCAGCGCCCGCAAGGTCCCCCTGCTCAAGAAAGCACATATACATGCCCGTCTGAAGTTTGCCAATGAACATCTGAATGATTCAGAGGACAACTGGGTGAAAGTGTTGTGGTCAGATGAGACCAAAATGGAGCTCTTTGGCATCAACTCAACTCGCCGTGTTTGGAGGAGGAGGAATGCTGCCTATGACCCCAAGAACACCATCCCCACCGTCAAACATGGAGGTGGAAACATTATGCTTTGGGGGTGTTTTTCTGCTAAGGGGACAGGACAACTTCACCGCATCAAAGGGACGATGGACGGGGCCGTGTACCGTCAAATCTTGAGTGAGAACCTCCTTCCCTCAGCCAGGGCATTGAAAATGAGTCGTGGATGGGTATTCCAGCATGACGATGACCAAAAACACACGGCCAAGGCACAAATAAGTGGCTCAAGAAGAAGCACATTAAGGTCCTGGAGTGGCCTAGCGAGTCTCCAGACCTTAATCCCATAGAAAATCTGTGGAGGGAGCTGAAGGTTCGAGTTGCCAAACGTCAGCCTCGACACCTTAATGACTTGGAGAAGATCTACAAAGAGGAGTGGGACAAAATCCCTCCTGAGATGTGTGTAAACCTGGTGGCCAACTACAAGAAACGTCTAACCTCTGTGATTGTCAACAAGGGTTTTGCCACCAAGTACTAAGTCGTGTTTTGCAGAGGGGTCAAATACTTATTTCCCATTAAAATGCAAATCAATCTATAACATTTTTGACATGCGTTTTTCTGGATTATTTTTTGTTGTTATACTGTATCTCACTGTTCAAATAACCCTACTATTAAAATTATAGACTGATCATTTCTTTGTCAGTGGGCAAACGTACAAAATCAGCAGGGGATCAAATACTTTTTACCCTCACTGTAGATAGGTTCAAAGAGATAAGGGAGAACCCATTGGGGTACCTTCAACTTGTTTGTAGAAAGTTCCATTCCAGGTTAAGTAAGTGTTGGTGAGGCAGTGTCTCACCGGGGCCGGTACATCAGGATTCAGTCCTTTTTGGACCAAATCTTCAATGATTGCAATAGTGTCAAGCACAGTCCAATTTCGGACAGCCTAAAATCGGTTCTAGCCAAAGGGTTGAATTTCGCAGTCACCCCTAAATGATGATATCATTGCCCAGGTCGACATAGCCCTTAAGGGTTTGGGACACATTACTGCAGATGTGGCAAGATCGGAAATAGCTGCAATCCTCAAAACACTATTAGCAACATCAGTAAAGATTAGTGTTTTGAGCTTTCTCAATTAAAAAAAAGAGATGACATTGGCATCCTCTCAGCGGACAAGAGCAATGCCACACTCATCATTTACAAACCCACATACAATAACAAAATTCAGGACCTACGTAATGATGGTAGCTATACCAAATTAAAAGAGATCCCACCAACCGCCTCGTTACAAAAAACAACAATATCATCACTGATTCGACATCTTTGATCGAATCAACCAAGTGGTTTTCCTTAAAACCCTCTGCTGCTAGACCACCCAGATTGTATGGCTTACCAAAAATCTACAAAGAAGGGACACCCCTTTGTCTTATCGTCTCCGCCATTGACTCACCCACCAACAAACTGGCGCAATTTCTGTCTGAGACCATACAACCATTCACTGGTAAGACCACCTCAGCTGTACTCAACTCAGCTCACTTGGTATTGTTAATTAAAGACATCTCACTATCTCCAGGTGATTTGCTCGTTAATTTCGATGTGGTATCTTTGTTTACCAAAGTTCCTGTGCTTGACGCCATTGCAATCATTAAATATTTGGTCCAACAAGGACTGAATGCTGATGTACCGGCCCTGGTGAGACACTGCCTCACCAACACTTACTTCACCTGGAATGGAACATTCTACAAACAAGTTGAAGGTACCCCAATGGGTTCTCCCTTATCTCTTTGAACCTATCTATGTAACTTTACCGAAAAACCTAAGAATATAAGATGTTAACTCCCTTACCTGGTTTAAGGGGTCAATCCCGACTCTGACGCCTGCTGTATATTTGGAGTTTGTGTGTTCTCTCTCGCTGTGATCGCATGGATTTTTCCTCTGGGTCCTCCATTTTTCCCCCTCCACATTCAGAAATGTGCTTTTAGAGTAATTGGTTGCGAGAAATGTCCACATGATAAGCCACTTCTTGACTTAAAACTTTCATGACTGCAGGAATTAATATTCTATGAGTCTTTCGGTAACTTTACCAACAGACCCAAATAATATAAGCCACTTCGTTGAGCTAGCATTTGTGGCCAGGTCGCCTCTGAAGCAGAGCTACTATACCTCAGTGGGCCTTTCATCGTGATTAGCCATTGTCAATCCACTGCTGCATGAAGGTCTCCCTCAGGTGGTCACTACCTCCCACAATGCTGCTACTTAACAATCCACCTGCATGCAACACCACAGTGCAGGTCAAAATACGTCTCTTTCTGATGACAATGCATATATTATCAGAGAATGTTCGTTTGCATGTTTTTTTGCCACAAGTATGTGTGGCTAATGCAGACTTGATGCCTTGCAAAAGGTATCTATTTGGTGTTTGAACAAAGTACTGCCTATTTTTATTTTATTATATAACTGCTCGAGCCGAGCTATAAGTGTTCTGATACTTCCATTATCTTTGTAAAGTTCGCATTTTGGGCATTCTCTGGTCTCACACTGGTGAGACAAGGCTATAAAGAAGGCTGTCTCTGGTGTAGGCCAATCAGTTTCAAAGACAATGCCATATATTATTAGAGCATGTTTGTTTGCATATTTTCGTCACAAGTATGTGTGGCGAATGCAGACTTGATGCCCTGCATAAGGTATCTATTTAGCGTTTGAACATCTTAACACCTGTTTTATTGCGAGCAAGGGTAAAACCGATTCTTATTTTTCATCATTTTGGATACTGCCAAAAAGGTCCCAAAGATACGTCTCTTTTTGCTTCTTTCCTTGCATAACTCCAATTTGAAGCTCCCATGAAGTTCACTAATTTATTTCTCCACTCATGTTGAGGACTCAGTCTCCAGAGTCTTTGGTCTCATCCATGCTGTGTTCAACCACCACACTGCAGGCCACAACAACCCCCATTCACCACTAATTGGTGGTGACGTCACCACAGCGCTTGTGCCAGGCTAGGTGCGCATTTAGGCCGCAACAAAACACTCACCCACTTACTCACCACTTTGGAATTCTCTCCCATCGCCTTTTTTTTACCAGGTTTGTATAGCCTTGCTCAATTCAAGACACATGAACGCTTCTCTGTTACTTCTTTAGTGCTGTTTTTTGCTCCTCGTTTGGAAGTGTGGACCTTTGACCTTGTGCTCAGCAACCTTGATGCTAACAACATATGCTCAATACTTTACCGAAAGAACCGAAAAGTATATGTTTAATAATTATGACCCATAATTAGGTGTCATTGTGCTCATGCTCACGGTAAATGTATAGCTTTACAAAGCACAATCCAGAATGTCACTACTGTTCGTTTACTTCCTTGGACATGTGGACACTGGATAAATCACGGTCTCTGCTGGTGAATTTGTTACCGATTAACTCAGCATGTCGTGACGGTTTGGCATGCCCAGCTAAGTCTTTATTGACAGCCTGCGGTGGGGGGGGGGGGGTCACATGGCAGAGATCTTACTTTCCACATCCAACGTTTGAGGGCATCTGGGATTCAGCCTCCGTGGTTAAATGTGTTCGAGGAACAATGACACAGACTGCGCCATCTGCTTTATTGCAGGCGCTGGAGGGTGCCCGGCGCTATCTGTTCGAGGCAAGGCCAGATTTACAAAACCTCTCAATGAGATTGGTAATTATTAATTAAATAATACCATAATCTTTGTTTTTTTCGGTAAAGTCACGTAGGTAAAATAAAATAAAATATCTAAATTAAATCACGACGTTTCGGAGGCAACACAAGCTTCCGTCTTCAGGTGGAATAGTCACAGCAGAATATCTGTGTCAAGTGGACAGCTCTGAGACAGCCGAGAATATATATACAGGTTAAGGGGGGGGGGAGGAGCCAAGAAGGGACGTGGGTGGGGGGGAGGGCTGAGTTAAGTCGCCTTTTGTTATGCTGCAGGGGGTTCTCGGGGAGAGATGCACGGGTACATACAACCCACTGCGAGCAATGGCAATGGCTGTACAATTATAAGGCAGCTGACGTTTGACTTGATTTATAACATCTTCCTCTCGGTTGAAGTTGTGTCTGTGTTTGTATATCTGGATGGCTTCATGGACAAATCTCTGGTAATAACCGGGAGGTTTGCAGAGAACTTTGGTATCAGAGAAGACAATGTCAGAGAAGACAATGTCTGATACCAAAGTTCTCTGAGAGAAGACAATGTCTGATACCAAAGTTCTCTGCAAACCTCTCGATTATTACCACAGATTTGTCCATGAAGCCATCCAGATATACAAACACAGACACAACTTCAACCGAGAGGATGGTTTCAAATTGAGCAACCATTGGAAAGATGTTATAAATCAAGTCAAACGTTAGCTGCCTTATAATTGTACAGCCATTGCCATTGCTCTCAGTGGGTTGTGTGTACTCGTGCATATCTTACCCTGAACCCCTTACAGCATCAACCATTGAAAAGATGTTATAAACCAAGTCAAAGTTTGGCTGCCTTAAAATTGTACAGCCATTTCCATTGCTTTCAGTGGGTTGCGTGTACTTGTGCATCTCTCCCCCCGAACCCCCTGCAGCATAACAAAAGGCGGCTTAACTCAGCCCCCCCCCCCCACCCACGTCCCTTCTTGGCTCCTCCCCCCCCACCTTAACCTGTATATATAATTACGTGTGTCTCAGAGCTGTCCACTTGACACAGATATTCTACTGTGACTGTTCCACCTGAAGACGGAAGCTTGTGTTGCCTCCGAAACGTAGGTGATTTAATTTAATTCTTTTCTTTTATTTTACCTACGTGATTTTACTGAAAAAACCAAAGAGTATGAATCCTTGCAGTCACGAAAGCTTCAAATCTAGAATAAATAATACCAATCATTTTTTGGTAAAAAAAAAACCTCAGCATGTATGTATGAACCAAAAGGGTGCTTTTATATATATAAATTTCCATTAAATACATTTTGTTATGTTTTTACAATGTAAAGCAGTGACAGTGTTTTTTTAAAAGCTATTTCATGGATATGGCCAAATCACACGGAATGTGCCTGAACTCATAAAATCTCAGAAGCTCAGCATACTTGAGCCTGAATAGTGCTTGGATGGACAACCTCCAGGAATTAAATGGGTGACTTGGGCTCCTGCAGGGATATATTGCCAACGGCGCAGTTTAAAAATCCATTGTCGTACTCTACTATGCTCCGACGTCTGTATGCTCTCGCCTTGTATGTAATGTATGTTGAACTTCTGTCGCGCCATATGTAGCCAACCAGGCTAATCGGAGGTGTGGAGGAAGGACAACAAACTAACACACAAAAAGTAGTTTTAAAGAAATGATTTTTCAATCTAGATGTAAAAGTGCATCGCGCCAATGACTTCCAAATAGTGGAACGAAGAGCATTCCAGACGGCCGAAATAGCGTTCCAGACGGCCACATCGTACTGACAAGGGTGCTAAAGTCTGGTCAAACAACCCTCATGACCCCGCACTGTGCGGCAAGGCCTTCATCCAGCAGTGGATTGACAAAAAAATGGTTATACACGTAAATATATTTGTGTATGTACATGGGTGAGATGTAACTTAATAGGTAGTGCAGTAAAGTTCACAGCTGAGAGATCCTCAGTTCAAATAATCATCATCGTCTTCCCTGAATTGTCAAGAAAGCTGCACCAAATTCTGGGAAATGACATCGTGGAGGTCACGAGTGATTCTCGAGTCAGTCGAGCTCTTAACGTGCAGCATGGACCGATAAGCCAGTCAAGAGGCCCAGGACCGAAGCTACCACGGGATCAGTTAGGACCTGATGGGTTGCCATGGGAACTTGGACTCCTGGGCCCAGCACAGAGTGCTAGAACTCAAGCCAGCACAATGCCGCAAATGAGTCAAGTGGGCGTTGCAACACCTTGTCACAGAGAATTGCCCCAGAAGAAGATATCATTACATCACGGACCGACTTGTGAAATTACTTCATGAGACTTCTAACTCCGCTACGTGAAGCAAATGTTAAATGCCATGGAAACTGTGGTCATAACATACCTATAATTAGATTTTAAAAAAAAAACTCTTTGGGTCTTTCAGCAAAGTCACGTAGATAGACAAATATTAAAATAAAATTAATCACGACGTTTCGATCGCAACACAAGCAATCGTCTTTAGGTGAAAAAGAGAATGTGCCATATTCATTGGTGGACAGGCTAAGTCCTTAAACTCTTTATTATACTCAGTTGACCTCAGAAATCAGTACTCTAACACTCTTGTCAACCCCTTGAGACACTCGGCCACTTCTAAACGAGCAAACTTTTGAAGGATATGGAAGTGAGAGGGCATAATGATGTCACTTCATTTGACTGAAGGTGTTATACCGTGCTCTTTGTCTTATAATGCAAAAGTGTGTCTTTACCACTTACCAGACGCATGTTATAAAGCAGCAGGGCTGCATGGGCAGCACAAATAATGAGGAAAACCAGACCCCACACTCCAATGCCGTAGGCACACTGATACAAAGTGGCCCACAGGATCCAAAAGATGCAACCTGGAAAACAGAATATTGAAACGCTTGAAGTTCAGTTGCCACAAATTTATGTTCAAGTATTTGTGAAAGGAGGCCATTTTCACATAACCTAAAACACACTTGCATTCAACAGCTGAATAGTCTAGTAGTCTCGTGAGAAAAATGTATCTGTTAAATTATCATAACTGCATGTTAAGTTCCACAGAGATTTAGCATAGCAAGGACGCTACTGCACAGTGGATGCTAAGACCTTGTGACCTCATAACAATCGCCAAATCCCATTGTTTTTTAAATGAGTCTGCAATCAAATAACTAAACGATGTCTCTGTGTACCCAAACCTGACCAGGTGGCTCTGTTGCAGATCACTTGCAATTGGAAGGTCGCGAGTTGATTCTACACTTCATCCTTTCGAGGCTGATAAAATTAACATCACTTTGGTTTGGCAATAGTCAACAGTGGTGCGAATAAAGAGGCCATGTCGTAGAAATGTGCAAGTTCCACTGCCGCTGTATAGCTAAAGTTCGCCGAAACAGATGACCACCGATGCTCGTGAAAGCAAGAATACACCGTGACGTGGACTACATGACTTTGACCTCTCAGATGGTTTTCTCAATATAAATAATACATCCCGATTGTTTCTCACCCACTTGAAAGGCATTATATTGAATTGAATTAAACTGCCCAAATCATTTACGAAAACTAGACTGTACGCAACTGCAAGCGTATGTATTTAACCTTTCGGTACAAAGCCTATTTAGTCATTCATATCTTACACTCTTGAGTATGTGGAGTTAAGATTACAGAAATATACTGCATGCACGAGGGGGAGGAAACGTCTCCATGAAGTGGTTTGGAATATTATGTGCAGCCCTTTTAAACCCTTACTTAAAATCTAAGTATATGCTATATCATAAATTACTTCTCAAATAATGTTACATGTATATATAAGGGACAAAAAGATGGCTGATACGACTATTCCATTGTATAATTAATAGCTGGTCAGCTATTTGGTACGTTGTGAACATGAAAGTAATGGCTGCTACTGTTTTATTATAATATTTGTAAAACGTTATTAACAAATTACAGGATGAAATAAAATATAGGTAACGTTTCAGGCAATTGCCTAGTTGAGTGAATAACACAAAAATAAGATTAATTTAAAGCCTTTTGTAAATTCACTCCTGGATAAAGGGCTTCCCATGCTGTGTCATTGGCATTGCCCATACTTCATCACAGGGATCTCTGTGCGTTGGTAAATTGGGTGGGTGCAGGACCAGTTGAGATATTGCTCGTCACTGATGTTAGCCGTGGTCATGAATAGATCTCAGGTTGACAGATTTGTAGTGCTGCTCCACTGCTCCAGTCCAATGAAACGATGTCACGGGGTATTTAAATGGTCACTTTATAGCAGATGGCAATTTCCCACTAAAATGAACATTGTTCTCAAGGATGAAACCATTACCTAACAGAAAAATGGATCAGTGATGAGCTTGCTGACGACCATGTTATTTTGATACTCAAGTAAAAAAAGATATCCAGATTCAATATTCTAGATCATGGAGGAGCATGTGCCGTTCACTAGCATCTAGTTGTGTCGGCATAGCACATGGGGGGTGGCGTGGCCAATGCCATGCCCGGCTGCCTTTGTCTCCCCAGTGCTGATCGCACACAATACTTGGTACTCGTTTAAGGATGAGATGACCGAGGAAAGGACCAGGACCAGCACTTTCCACTGCTGTGCGTGGTCGAGGAACGAACTGAGCGCTAAACAGGCCCTTCCATTCTCTTTGGTTCTTTCGGTAAAGTCACGTAGGTATATATATTAAAACAAATCACGACGTTTCAGGCGCAACACAAGTGCCCGTCATTTTTGTTTTGCCCACTTCAGCAATTGTTTCTTGCAGTGGTTGTCCCACCTGATGACGGGCACTTGTGTTGCGCCCGAAACGTCGTGATTAAATTCATTTTATGTTATACCTACGTGACTTTACCGAAAGAACCAAAGAGTATGGATCCCTGCAGTCACGAAAACTTCAAATCTAGATGGCCCTTCCATTGCTCTCTAATAATGCACAGACGTACATACAGCGTCTACATCATTTTTAAACAGAGTAATTGGTGAATCCAACATTTCTTATGCAACAGTAGTTTTCCACAGTAGTATAAAATGCAGATAAAACACGTTTTGTTTACATTCAATTGAGACTTTTAGTACTCACCCAATATCATAAGTCCTCGAAACAGCAGGATATGGCAGGAGAGCGTGGCTGGAATTAAATAGGCAACCAAGAAGGCAGTGTTGGCGAACTGGAAGAGTCCGTGCTGACTCTCTTCCCACTCAAGGCACGTGCTGCTGTTCAGGGCACTGGCATTAGTGGAGATAGTGGAGGTACTAAAGGTACTCGAGGTACTAGAGGCCGGTGCACAGGCAACCAATGGACAAGATACCGAGAGAAACAGAAGCACAGTTGATCTCATTGTTGCGTCGTCCAGGCAAACACGAAGTGGCGCAGAAAAAGAGCGACTCCAAGCTATAGTAGAGCATGAATATAATACAAATTCAGAGTCGGTTGTTCAATGTGCTTGGTAAAATTATGTCAACAAATATGGATGATATAACATTGGGTCGAAAAAGACGAGGTGTAAAATGAAGACAGTGGTAGTTAATATAATAACAAAAATAACCACGACTATATAAAACAAAAAAAAAGATTTACAACGAAACACAAATTGTCAAAAAAATCTAACGATTAACCTAGATTGCTAAATTGAACTGAAGCTTTAACTGACTATTACGCATAAGCACTCCCGTGCCAACTGCACAACACGACGAGACGCTGAAGCAGAATTACTGAGCTCTCTGGGGGCGCACCGTGTCGATTTTAGCCATGCAATCCTCCATCTGGTTGATAATGTGTGCAAGGAAAAAAAATGGAGACATAGTGAACATTGTTGCTAATGACATACACGACAAAGTTATCAGTTGGATAAGAGAGGGCCCATTCTGGTATTTAAATGATAAAACTTGTACCAGTTTCGCAGCGAAATAAAGATTACGTGTATGCTGAGTTGCATTTTGATGCCTGAAAAAACATATCCTCTTTAAATTAAACACACTAACTGTGAAATATTATAACTTACAAACCGTAGATTATTTTATACATGAATGTTCACGTTGAATACGTTGTAACACTGTTATTACCACTAGATTTAGAATTGTGTCAGTATTTTAGGCGTTGTTGTTTTTAATAATTTGAATGTCGTAAAGTCTGTAGCTACACGTAAACATAGGTTGCTCTGAATTGAAATAATTTTCAACATTCTATTTTCCTTTACTTCAGCATGCAAGGGCCTTGGTGATGAAGTGTCTATCTTGCAAAAAGAGAATTATGATAATATGTAATAAATTTTGATTTAAAGCTTTCGTGACTGCAGGGATTCATATTCTTGGTTCTTTCGGTAAAGTCACGTAGAAGGGAAACAATAAAATAATAAACATATAAAACAATAAAATTCTCACGACGTTTCGACTGCAACACAAGCAATCATCATCAGGTGTGAAAACCACAGCAAGAAATTTTGAAAAAACCGCCACTTTTTTCAACCAAGCAGAGTCGTAACTTGCTGTGTTGCTTCCATTGTTCCCTGCCGTTTGGCTGTTATTTCCGACTCTCTGAGTTGCATTGCCCTGTTAGGTGCCTCTGCATTAACGGGCTGGGGTCTCACTAACATGGCCACCTCTGCTCCCTTAGCCTCGATGTATCAATGGTTCTGGCTGTGTGATGGGCTGTGTGTCTCACTGGCGCGACCACCGTTGCGGTGGTTCTCTTGCCTCTCACAGCTCAGTTGGCAGCGTCGCAGCAGCTTGTGTTACACATAGACATTACATTAACTTGCTAATCCCCCTAATCTCCCTACCTAATCTCTCCCATCAACATAGTGCTAATCTCCCATTAACACTGCTGTTGTGCGCATATGCGGGGACGGTGCTCTTGTGCGGCGACGGAAGCTCATTTCATGCTAATCTCTCTCCCTAATCTCCCCCATTAACACGACTGACGTGCTTGCGTCCGGGGATGGAATTCCTTTCCAGCTCAGACCCCGCTTGCTTGCCCTTCACCACATATATAATGTCTTGTTGTAACAGCTCTCTCGCTGGTTCAGCAGTTCCACTGCTGGATTATTTTATTTCCGCCTGAGGACGACTGCTTGTGTTGCGGTCGTGATATATATTTTTTTATTTATTGTCTTTTTCTACCTACTTGACTTTACCGAAAGAACCAAATAGCAAAGCACAGCAATTAAGCAAATGTAAATTGGAGCAAAAACTATCGAGTAAAACTCTGAACAAAATACATCCACATTGAGGAGACCCAGATGTTCTCAGTTCAATTCCTGGTTGAGATGTTTTGCTGCCTCTGTTTCTTACACAGGAGTACAATGGTGGTGTTTCCAAGTCTTTGTAAATTGTTTACAGGACGTGGGGTAACGTGCAGGTTCATCCTTTCCGCCAACACATTCAATCCGCGTTAAAACTTGAGGAAAAAGCGATGTAATAATAAGTCTGTCTCTGGCTATGAGGGCTGCTATTTTGTGTGTATACATATGTTAAGGCAGCGACGTATAGTTGATTTCGAGTGGGATACAGATATTCCCGAGCCTGCCAGCAATTACGCACTCGAAGAAGAAGAAAAATAAAACAAACCAGTGCATTGAAACATTACTGTGATTATTATTTTTTCTTTCCAAAGGTGAATAAGGATTAGTGGGGGTGGGAGCGAACTCATAATTATTAGAATCCGCAGAGATAAACGCATGGGGGAGGGAATGGAGTAGAGAGGGAGAGGGGGGTTGGGGGGGGGAGCAAGATTGCTGTGAGAGCAACCACCTTCAAAAATGTGAGAGGCTCCGTCTCAGCGTGAGCGATACATTTTGCGAACAATTGGTTATGCCCCCCCCCCCATGAAATATAAATGGCTGTGGGTGCGCACATGCCCGCGTTATCACTCGAAAATACAAATAACTCGAGCACGATTATCTAATCCTCTGCCCGGGCAGAGTGAGCGGCTTGGCTATTCTTACACCCGTTGGCTGCTAAAAGGGTGCCTTGTAAGGGGTGGTGGAATTTGCTCTTAATGGTGTGAGATAAAATAAGAGTGTGATTGTATACAGTCGGTCAAACCCCTCCATCACCGCTCATAGACTTTAGAAGAATGGAAAAAAAGTGCCGGTTATAAGCACCATTGTGAACGCATTTGAAATGCATTAATTCATTAGACGGCAGTCCTGAATACAGAAAGGCCAAACAATGTACAGTATTATTGGATGTTCAGTGCTCAGGAAATAAGAATTCATTCGTTTTAACAATTCCAGTGCTCATTTGTGTTTCAATCGTTAAAGCGTCTTTGCCAGTTTGATGGTATGAACAATTTCCTTCTTACAGCCATTGAATAGATTGATTTATATTTTTAAAATATTTATATATATTGGTGTGATCTGCCCTAAATAGAAAGTTAAAGACAGCATTTTGAATCGTAGGTCATAATACACGAATGACATCCAGGACAAACAATACTATGAATTGCCCAATGTAACTAGAACTAATTGTTAACGTTACAGTTAATGGACATTGAATGCATGATATATAGCAATATCTGTAGATAATAGTGAGAGGATTTTGAAAAAACGTATATATTTGTGTATATATTCTCCTAAAAAAAGAAATACACATTTTATAAAGTTCCACATCCGCATGAAACCACAAATAGACGTGTTGTGTTCCAGACTTTTTTTTTTTATAAACAGCCAGGAGGCTCGGCGGTAAGGGGCGATGCAAGTGAGAAGTTTGCGAGTTCCCATCGTGGGTTGACTCAGCACATAATCCCTATAGGGTCGATAACGTGAGCGCCGCTTTGTGGGGAAGTTAACAGTGGCTGTTCTATGTATACAGCCACACCCCGGTTTGCGACGGGGATGCGTTCCTGATAACCAGAACGTAAACCGAAAGTGCTTGAATCGAAGCAAAGTGATGGGATGGTGGATCGTAACGTGGTACAGAACCTACTTACTAGTACGTACGACTACCAGTAGCAGTAGGTAGTACGACAACGAGAGATGGGATGGTGGATCGTAACGTGCTACAATACCTAAACAGAGGATGCTCAGTCAACCCATTGCGCATCTATATTGTACAGCCACTGGTATGAAAAGTAAGTGTATATTATTGATATATTAAGGTATATTACCTATTCTATGATACCATATGTATTATTAGTTATATAAAACATTGAAACTTGTATAAAACATAGTCACCATAAGTACGGTATGTGAGGAGGACGGAATATGAATAGATTCCGTGTACAGATGTAATGACTGAAAAATGAATCCAAGCCAATATGCAGCCTGATGGCTGTTTACCAATCGGAGACAAAGGTCTACCAATCGGAGACCTTCACGGTGATTGGTCGCAAGGCAGACTTTTAAAGGGATTGGAGGAATAAGATTTGAACGGGAAACAGAGAGGATCCGTTAGAGGGGGAGGACGGGGATTGGCTAAGAAAACAACAAGGACAAGAAGGTTCCAGAAAGGGGGCTCGAGGAGTATAAAAGCGGAGAGCACGAGGAGTGGCGACGTTCGGAGGAAGTTACCAGCCGAAGGCAAGACCGAAGCCTAAATCGGGGAGGTACTGCATATACTTGCTCCGGCCATATTGAATGTGGAATTCCCACCACTCGTTCAAGCTTGTGAACAGGAGATGAGCACGACACTGAATGATCATTTGAGCAGGGCAACACCGTTTGCATGTCAACGTACTTGTGTAATTTCTCTTTTACTTCTACAATATCTCTTAGGTAATATACTCCCTGCAGCCGGTGACTCCAATTTCCGTGCGGGACAGCGAGCCTCGGGTTTTCCAGTCACATAAAATACATGCAGATGGCGCTGCTAATGTAAATCAGAAATGGCCATGTATAATTCAAAAGGCATTACCCAACAGGAATGCACATTTATATGGCACTTGCAAATCGGAGGTCTTAAGTTCGAATCCCACCACTTAAATAAATATTGTGAATATATCCCTACGTTATCATACTTGATACTTATACAGTGCTATGTTCGAAGAAAACGTTTTTTTTTTCCTGGCGGGTTTCCTGCCTGTATTCCTGTCTGCCTGTCTGGTGCGCGCCTAAGTGCGCGCGCGTGCGTGCGGTGGTGAAGTCATGCGCATCCCACAGCATTGAGCAAGGATTTGTGCGTAGCGCTGACATCACGTGCGGGTTGCAAGTGTAAGGTGATGCCGAGAGGCAAACCCCCATTGGGAAATTTAAAAAAAAAACATCCACTCACTGAGTCTAACGGATTCCTCAGGAGCTAGCACAGAGGGAGCTGGCATCAGGGGGCATGAAGGTGGAGAACATTCCAATGGGATTGGTCGTCAGGGAACACTAAATGGAAATGCGTGGTCGGTTGGGAAACCGTTTGGGCAAATGAATGGGATTTTATTTTTAGTGGAAAGTCACGGAGAGTTCGGGAAAGGATGGAGACGAGAATAGAAGGAAGGGCGTTTTGGGTGCGTGAACAGAGTAATTCCATGATGTGTGACGTGCTTTGTGGAAGAGACAAAATCACATTGAAGTTTAAGACTCACTCAACTGGAACTCCTTTGCATTAGTATAAGGACATGTGTGTGTATGTATGCACATCCGATTCGCACACCTGGCTACGTATGGTGCTAAAGAAGTTCAACATACATGTACACTAAATTTATAATAAATAAGGTAAGACTTAAAACAGGTTTAAAATCACAAATGTGCTTAGCTTAAAACAAATACTATATAAGCAGAACTCCATTCTACGTTTCCACAAATGTTTAGTCCATCGGCATATTGGCTTTCCACACCAATAAAATCAAGCAGCTTTGGTTTAAGCAAGCAAATTGATGCAGTGTCTACCCCATCAGCATTGTCAGGTTCCATTAACAAATTCTGCTGGATTCTCATGGTGCATATAAACCACGGGTCTACACGGCAGCTGTATACAGTAATTTCTTTGTGATTTCACAAACCAGAATTTTGACCTATAACCTTGTCACACACAGGTGCCACGGTCTTTAATGTCCACTTTGCTGCGAAATACACGATTTGATAATTACCCGCGCATATTTACCAGACATGTGAAGTGAGCGATTGACTTCAATCTAGCCCACCACATGCTACCTGGCAATTGACTTAATGTGCCAATTGGACGTGATAGGCATATTTAACTGTCTTG